GGAAATAGTATATGAATTTGTTGACAAAGTGATAATGAATCATAATATGATATTATATACGGGGTGTTCCATTTGAAAAATCTAAGAAGCCGCTACTTTATAGTAGAAGCGACAACGCCGCTTCGTCTAAAATATTTTAGGCGTGTAGGTCATATTGACTTATGCATACTGTGGAATTTTCAGGTTGATTCGATGAATAGTTTGCCAGAAACGGCTAATTAATACTCTTCATGAAAAGCCCTGTATAAAAAACTATAGAGCCATTTTAATACCAAGCAATTTCTCCAAATTATTAGGAATAATATTAACCTCCAACATTTACAGTCCAATACGAAATATCATATCAGATGATCAACATGGGTTTGTAAAAAACAAGTCGTGTATAACCAATCTTGCATGTCTTTCACAATTTGTATCTGAAGTTTTTGATAGTTGATGTCAATCATACAGACATGCAAAAAGTTTTGATGGGGAAACTGATGTCAAATCACCTACTGGATAGAAAACAATATATAGAGTATGAAGACTTCAAATCTGCTTTATACATATACTCCTAGTTCCGAAGTGCCCGAAGGCTCGAATTTAGGACCTGTTTTGTTCTTAACCCATTAACGCCCAAATTATTATTTTTTTCTGATTGAATCGGAACCAATTCACTTATGGGAGTTCATTAGTCCCTAGTTGCACAATATAGCTGTGGATTTTATTGACATCTGATAGTTACCGAAAAAATATCTGTCATCAAAAGAGGACACTGGGCATAGGCGACATTAACGATAAGAATTTGCAGTGCAACGAGATATTATTTATTCATGATAATATAGGAAAGCACAAAATGAGTCAATCGTCCAAAGTGAAGAAATAAAAAAATTAAAAAACAAAATGGAGATTTTAGACAAATAAAATGAAGATCTCAGTTATTGTTTATAAATAATAATTTTTGTCATGGTATCGGCTAAAACAAGATATGCACAATGTGATATTACATTTTTTGCAGAAAGTGCGTGGTTTACTCTGGCAGGAAATTAATTGACATCTCTGCTGTTTTTCGCGCTTTTCAATAACGTGCCCCCCGTATCGAAACGTATATCATCAAATACTTTGGGCCTCGATGTCCACAATAGGTTGGTTGGTCTACCTCGTTGAATACGGTTTCCATGACCCAATTTCAAATAAGTTGTTGCAATGTTCCTCTTGAAATTTTTGATAGAGATGGAACCCACACCATGAGTGAGTATATATAAGGTATATGAATTCACAACTGCCACGTCAACGATTCGAGTGAACAACCACCAATACCATATTTACCTCGAAATGCTATTGAATGCTTTTCGAGCATCCAATCATGGTGATCTACGCCACCCATATATTTATTATAGTTGCTCATCATTGCTGGTTGAGGAGTAGGTATTCTTTCTTTTCTTAGCCGATTCCATCTTGAGACATTCACGATAGGAAGTATTGTATCAAAATTAGTTCCAACAGGGACACATTTGTTATCGTTCCATCAAACAAAAGTCACTTGATTAGCTGTATCGAACTGATAATCATAAGTTCCACGATCTTCTTTTTGTAGCTTTTTCACTTCTTCCAGGGGACACTTCTTCATGCAGTTATCTCTCACCGTTCCTGTAGCTCTGAATTTTATTTCCCTCAATGAAAAAAGTTGATCATAGCTATTGAAAAAGTTACAAAGTATACAATATGGCTTGTCGGATTATCCACAACTGACAACATATTTTCAACAACAGTGCTTCCCAGTGTTTTATTTTTTATCGTTCTGTGTTGCTACTTTTCCACAATAAAGATCGAAATTTTTCAAGGAGTGACGCTCGTAGTATTTCACCATCATTTCATCAATTGACAAATGTTCCTCGAATACACAATACTGATGGAATTTGCAGTTTACGATGTCTAGAAGGTATCTTATTTTGAATCCTCTATCACCTTTATTGTGTTCTGCTTTGGAGTTGTCTTGTAAGTGAATCAGAGACTTGAATTGTAGATGAGCATTTCTACTCATCGCATCCTTCACTAGTTTCATTCCCAGGTCATCAGCTTCAGACCAATAATCACGTTCGGATGGAAATGTATGGTAACCAAAAATATTTTTATTTCATCCACAGAAACTCTGAATCCTTGTTTATTTTTCACAGACATAGCATACCGATTTGTCTCATCCACGATGAGCTCCAGAACCTCATGAAAATATTGTTTCAAAAATTTTGACTGGTGTTTTATTCACCAACACCACCTTCATTTCGTCCAATTTTCGATTCGCCAAATTTTCCTTCTGCCAAGTTTCATAAACAGGCTCGGTTTTTTTCCAGCAAGCAGCAGGAGCGGATTGAGGTATTTTATTGTTCTCGATAGAGAAGCGTTTGCGCAGTATTGAAAGAGGTATATTATCGTCTTCAACGTCTTTCATAGAAGCTGGAGAAATAATTCTTTCGGCGTCATCGTCATCTGTTGAAATGTGTATTTCTATGGTGCCTGCTACATCGGATAAAACAGGGTCTCCGAGATCTTCATCGTCAAAGAATTCTTCATCCGTAAGCTCATCTACGTCGGGAGGTAAAGCGAGAATATCAGCTTCGATTTCCTCCGATTCCAAATATGCGATGGCATCTTCTAAATTCTTAAATGGAATTCGGCTTTGATTCATTTTCTGAATGATCTGAAAAAAATATGCATTCATCCAATAATGTAACATTTGTCCAGTGTCCTCTTTTGAGGACACTATTATTGAGACATATTTATCTCAGAATTAGTTGAATATTCGGATATATTGAATTGCACAATCGAAACATGTATGATTGTAGTAGATCATTGAAGAACAATTGAAACACTTACCCTTTGAATGAATTTCTTTGCTTGAATATTATGATGAAACGCAATAAGTGTCGGAATGCGTTATGTTTCACCGGCTTGTCAGACCGATTGATGATATAGGTAGGTAACACAGTTTTCTGCATTATCTATACAGCCGGGATCGTACGACTGGCTGCATGAGAGTTGTGAAATAAATAATTGCATGTGTCCTCAAAAGAGGACGCTGGATGCTGATGAGTTAATTTTCATCAATGTTTTAACTAAAATAATAAACAATTCAAAGTTGCCCCACGCCGATGACCTTTGAATATTTAAAATTATAGAAAACTATGGAGACTGCTTAGACTTACAGTATGAATAGGATTTGATATTTGATTGGTGTTCCAATAATCGTTAGAATCTGAACATTGCTGAATGTCATGTATTGTCTATTTTCAGATTAAGTCTGATACAAATTCACTTATGAAATCGATAACTCAATCCAGTTATTGAAATGAAAGGCCTTGATCGAAAATTCACTTTTGTTTCACATATAGATCAGTGGCATAACTGATAAAATTCCTTAAATCCTCATTTATAACTGCACATGCATTTTTAAATTCTTGAGACTTGAAACTATAGTATAGTTGAGTATTGTCAACGTAGAGATGCACATTGCAGTTTCGGATTTTGGTAAGAATATGAAAAGAGTATACGGAGAAAAATGATGGACCAAGTATGGATCCTTGTGGGACCCCAGATCTCAGAGACATATAATCCGAGCAGACACCATTTATACATACCTGTTGTTATCGATTATTAAGATAATTTTTATCGATTCACAAGCATTTTTGGAAAAGCCCATATATTTGCCAAGAGAAAGATTAAACTTATCATCTGCAAACAGGAGCTTTATAGAAAAATGTAAATATGATGTTAGATCATTGATAAATGAAATGAACGGCAAAGTTTGAGCCCTGTGGGACACCCAAGTTGATTTCATAGGGGTCAGAGTAAATACCATTATATCTGACTACACAGTTACGATTCTGGAGATAGTTAATGATTAAACCATGGTTGATGATCGAAAGCTTATCTCTCTAAACAAGGTAGCATCATCAGGAGATGACTGAAACTGTCATCTTTTGATGATGCTGACTTGATTAGCAAAACGCGCGTCAGAAGCCAGTATTTTTGTTCAGGTGTGGAAAGCGTGTTTTCGATAGATATAAAATTGATATTTTGAACCTCAATGATGAAACCTGTAGGTAGGTACTCCACAGAGATTTAAATAATATGGTAAATACTCAATAATATGCTTTACACTCGGCTGGGCTTCCACTTTTGAGCAATAGCCAATTCGGTGTCTAAAGCTACTGTACTCAAACATTGCATCAAATTTGTTTGATTAGTACGGATGTTGGATCTATACTGGTTATGAATAACTCTGAATGAATTCATTCTGTTATTAATATACAAGACACCATATGTAGTGTGTGTCACAAAAAAATTCAATTGAAAGTTTCAGACAATGTTTAGGCTGAAAGGCTTTGATATCATTGCATGGAAATTTTCTGAATTATTATCCAATACACAGGTGAAAGAGTAACATAACTTAAATCAAAAAAGGGATTTCTATGAAACGCCGTTTTACTTTTTATTGTCACAAATATTCATTTCTCAATTTATTCACCTAACAATTTATTTGTTTGAATTTAATTTATTCATGCATTTGTTGGAAACATTGAAAACGATTGTTCGCAAAATTTGTTTTATTTTAAATGATACCTACTTGATTTAAAATGTTACATGAATAAAATTGTTATTTGAATAAAAATACTAATGAAATAACTTGAAGCTTTTATTGATTCCGGAGAAAAATATTGTTTCAGAGTATTGGAAAATGGAACGCCAATTTACTATATATCATGGTGAAAAATAATTTATATACATATAGTTCAACTCAGCAATGAACAAACATTTTTATTCAACAGTCAATGGAATGTATTATTCGAGTAAATTCAACAAACTTTTCAATTCCGCATATATTTTTGATCTTTGAATAAAATGTTTGTTATTTATATGACTGTTGACTTATAATGAAACTTTAAATTCACTTTCTAAAAGTGAGTTTGGGAATAAAATTTCAATGAATATATTTCAATGAATGTCAAAGTTTCCTCATGAAACATTGTTGGTAATAAAAATAGACTTTCGTTTGTCTGAAAATATAGCAAATTAACTTTCCATACTAAATATTTTTCTATGAATAATAAAGAGTGTTGAATGTTTTCAACGTTCACTTTAATGCAATCAATTTAAAATTTGGTTACAACTTTTGTGCAAAACATTCACAAGCAAGTGTCATTTTATTTTATCAATCTTTTTAAAAAGCTAATTTCTGACAAAGAATTGAATTTTTTGATGATTTAAACAGACTGTTGTATTTGAACGAAACATTTCAAATGATTTTTGATAATTTTAATTCGGCGCTGGTATCGAGCGGATTTATCAAGAACTTCAAGTGACAAGACAAAACTCCGTTCAACCGTGGCGCCGAATAAAAATTATCAACAATCAATTTAATTCATGTATCAATGAAATCCAACAAACAAAATAATCCAGCTAATTTCGAAGGAATATTAATGAGAAGTAAAACGGCGTGGTAGGCCGTTTTACTTTCTATCAGTATTTTGTGAAAATGAATTGTTTTGATTGTTGCATTTAGGTGATACATGAATTAAATTGATTGTTGATGATTTTTATTCGTCGCTGCGGTCGAACGGAGTATTACCGTACTATGTATGACCAACGCCATACATATATGCAGTTATGTAGTTTCACATAAATACGTCCGACGTCAGTGCCAAATAAAAATTATCAACAATCAATTCAATTCATGTATCACTGAAATTCAACAAACAAAATAATCCAGCTCATTTCAAAGGAATATTAATAAAAAGTAAAACGGCGTGCCACGCCGTTTTACTATCTATTGGTATTTTGTAAAAATGAATTGTTTTGATTATTGGTTCTAGATGATACATAAATTGAATTGATTGTTGATAATTTTTAGTCGGCGCTGCTGTTGGACGGAATATTGTGTTACTATCACTAGACTATCATGTTGCCAGATTTGAAAATTTAGCTTCTGCAAGAATCCGCTCGACGCTAGCGCCGAATTAAAATTATCAACAATCGTTTTAATTCATGTAACTATAATTATCAACAAACAATTTTATTCATGTTTCACAGAAATTGTAGTCAATTATTTGATAGTTACAAAAAAAGTATATATGACAAACATTTACTTCCAAAAATTTCAAACAATGAATCTATATTATAACTGTTCGCAACTTTTCATCAAACAAATTAATTCATGTAACATTTTAAATCAAGTGTCATTTAACATAGAACAAATTTTGCGAACAATCGTTTTAAATGTGTCGAACAAATGCATGAATCAATGAAATTGAAACAAATAAATTGTTAGTTGAATAAATTGAGGAATGAATATTTGTGACAATAAAAAGTAAAACGGCGTTCTATAGATTTCATTCTGTGACGATTATTTGAATTATTTTCTTGTATGGATGATGTTACTAATTAAGTAAATTTGAACGAACCTCAAGCAACACATTTAAGAGAACCCGATGACATTCAAAATATTAAAAAAAAAAACAAAATATTTGAAGACTCACCTCAAAATCCTGCATCGCCGATCGCTACCCCTTTTTCTGCATTATCACCATCATTATGATTACCAGTTTTTCATTATAATTTATAATTTCTAAATTTATATTATTCTTTGTAGTTTCTGTTTACGTTTACATTTTTTATTCTCTATCACTGCTGCTATATGCATTAAATACTGTTATTAGACTATTTGAATACTTCTTCAAGTGGGGTAGAAAAAACACAAAACAGGCGACATACGTGTATTTTACCCCACTTTGGAAGAAGCAAAAAAAATGCATTCCACTGCAACAACGTTTTGATTTCTTTTTTATCCACAGGAGTATTCAAGATGAGGATAGCCTTCTGTTTTATCGTTGTAGCCATTTCTGGGGCCTTTTCATACGGAATAGACTCAAATCCTTTCAGCGATGAGTTCATAGATTACATCAACAGTCAACAAACCACTTGGACTGCGGGCAGAAATTTCGACAAAAACACTCCAGTGTCTCACGTTCGTAAATTACTTGGAGCTGTCAAATCACCGGTACCTAGATCTGCCAGGAACGTTGTTTTACACAGCGAAGATACTCCAATTCCTGAATCCTTCGACTCTCGTGAAAACTGGCCCGACTGCAATATTATCAGAGTAATCAAGGATCAGTCCTCCTGTGGTTCATGCTGGGTAAGATTTTAGATTTTTGGAAAACGGGTTTCATTGAGAAGAGAAAAAATTCCTTGGGATTTTGAAAATCGTGCTATTTTATTTTTCACATTATACAGTGTCATCCCCAAAGTATGCACCATATGGGAAACTTACTTATGAAGGGTTTTTCGGCAAAATGTTATTCCTGATAAAAGTTCGTGCATCCCCTAAAACTGAACATACACCAACAAAAAGTAGTAAAACACACGTAATATACGAGGAGCCTTCAAATATTTGATTTCGAGACAAGAGTAAAGTACTCTTCTGTTGAATAATCTCGAGAAATGTTTTTTTTGCTAAAACGATAAATAGACAGCATCCTGTATAAGATTGTTCATTTCAAAAGCCTGTAATATTACGAATTACACAACTATGGTGTTAACCACAGTCATTTTTTTAAAGAGTAAAATAATTTTCAAAGTTTTTGATGCACAGTTACTTTTATTTTTTGTTAACACCGAAAATTACTCAAAATTATACTTACCTAATATTCAATTATATCAAATCACAAAACGTCAAAATGAAATAGTTATGTCGGAACAAACTCATTGATTTTCTGGAGATTTTCTTCTCTAAAATAATTCTCCAAAATAATCTCCAGAAACTCAATGAGTTTGTTCCAAAATACCTGTTTAATTTTGATGTTTCGTGATTTGATATTATTGAATATTAGGTTCTTGTTATAATACTGTATGATTTGGGGTAATTTTCGGTGTTGACAAAAAATAATAATAACTTTGCACCAAACATTTTTGAAAAAATTATTTTGATCTTCAAAAAATTGACCGTGGTTAATATCATAGTTGTGCATTTTATAACACAGCCTTTTGAAATAAACCGTCGTATACAGGATGCTGTCCATTTATCGTTTGAGTGAAAAATTTTTTCCTTAGTCCCCTTAAAAAAAAATGGGTGAAAAAATGAATCTTCACTTAAATGGCCATGACTTCAAATCTACATGTATTTTTTGAAGCTGAATAACTTTTCTAAATGATATTTCCCCAGATTCAAAATGAGAGTACTTTACTCCAGCCTCAAAATCAAATATTTGAAGGCTCCTCGTATACTACTTGTGTTTTTCTGTATTTTGTTGGGTTATGTTTAGTTTTAGGGGATGCACAAATTTTTATGAAGAATAACTTTTTGTCGAAAAACCCTTAATAAATAAGTTTCCCATATGGTGCATACTTTGGGGATGACACTGAATACTAGTATATCGCAGCATTTCATTATTATATTTTTCACATTAACCCAAATAGGTTTTCCTGTTAACTATAACATGACTGATTCGAATACCAACAAGTAGAAATCGTTTTTCATGAAACTATGACCTTATGAAATATAAACGTGCTTCAAAACTGAGATGCAAATAAAAAAATATTTTCATTCCTGGATTAATGGAAAGAATGATTGATTTTCAATGAGAAGTTCAACTCGTCCACTCATAAAATGGTTCAGAAAAATAATTTATTTTTCAGGCTGTTGCAGCAACTTCCGCAATGAGTGACAGGATTTGCATTCATTCTGACGGGAAAAAACAAATATCCGTTTCAGACGAAGACTTGTTATCGTGTTGTTCAGAATGCGGAGATGGATGTCACGGAGGATATCATATTGAAGCGTGGAATTATTGGCAGAAAACAGGTCTCGTTTCAGGGGGACCTTATAATTCGACTACGGTAATAATGACATTTTCATACAAACCAAATATACTACGATTGGATTTCATTAGTTCGGACTTCCATTGTCTACTATATAAAATGATTTGGAATCCCTGAAACAACTAAAAAAGAAGAAATAAAAATGAATAGCTGAAAACAACAATTATATTAACCAAAATAAACCTGAAATGAAATAATAGTGAAATAAAATACAAGTAAAAATAGAACAATTGAATAAATAAAAATAAGAAAAGAAAAAAGAAAGAAAATAAAAATAAAAAGTGGAGAGATTCCAAGTCACGTTAGTTCACGACGTTTCGATTGTTAGTATCTACAATCGTCTTCGGGTGATGACTGGACTGATTCCTCCGAGAGATGACTATTTATAGGTCGTTCGAGTACTTTCACTTATCCCCGCTTTCCATTTTCCGCTTCACTGGTTCCGTGGGAGATGACCGTTTTGGCGGGAGCTGGCCATTTTTCGCTTGATGATGGGTTTCCATATGTTGCGTATTTCTACGCTGCCTTGGCTGAATACGTTGTTGGACAACATGTATACGGCTTCCTTGAATTTTCTCCTAAACCAGCTCACAATTAATCAGTTCAATATCAACTTATGATGCACTGTTTGGAACTATTGTTGTGGTAATGAATATTACTGGAGTTTTTTCTCAACACCAAATCGTTATTTTTAACAACTCGACACGTGTTTCAATCACCAAGTGGCCATCTTCAAGGTGAAGATTGAACTGAAAAACTTGCGAGCTAACCCTATTTATGTTATACAGGTATACCATATATGTATACCACCATATAGGTATACCACACCTTTGGTGCCTTGAATTAATTTTACAATTCGTAAATTGTAGCTGTAAGGTTAGCTCGCAAGTTTTTCAGTTTAATCTTCCTCTTGAAGACAATCAACAATGAGTTATACAAACTTATATGAACTTATACAATAAGTAGACGTTTGAAAATGTCCGTATAGGACGAAACTGCAGTAACGTTAGTTAGAAATAAAAGTGGTAAAAAACATAGAAAATTTCATTTCTCTTTTCTTCATTATTTCCATGGATAGTGTTATCAATTTTCATCAAGTAACGGGTCAGTCCCTTCGTAAATGAAATTCAATCAACATTCCATTTCAGAAATTAGTTTTTTTTCCTCGAAACACCAAAATTCATTTCCGTCATGTTCATTTACCCTATCTTCAATTTCAGTATCATTCAATTTATTGTTTTAGGGATGCAGAGCTTATTCCTTGGCACCATGCGAACATCATACAACTGGTTCCATACCGGCATGTCCTAAAGATGTTTCTCTTACTCCTAGATGCAATAAACAGTGTGACAAAAAATCTTCCCTCTCCTATCAATCTGATAAATCCTATGGTCAAAAGCCTTATTATGTTAGTAATCAAGAAAAGCAAATACAATTGGAAATCTTGAAAAATGGTCCTGTTGAAGCTGCATTTCATGTATACACAGATTTTTACGCTTATAAGCGTGGTACGTATTTATTTGATATCAGACATACAACGTAATGGGATGTTTGCAATAATCCATTATTCAGGTGTAAAATAATGAACAGTTCGAAGCAATTGATAGCACAGAAATATTTGAGAAGAGAATCCATGTAATGTATTATGATCCATTGATTTATGCATATTCATGCAAGTTAATAAGCGATCGAGTTTGCATTCAGTACCTGAATGAATTAAACATTGGACTCGTGAACTGAGCAGCTCGAATCTCAGTTTGAAATCTCAGTGATAATCTGAGGAACACTGTTGAAAATGCAGCGAGACAATATTTTCCAGATCTACAAAACCTACAACAAATAGAACATAATGTTCGATATGAATGGAAAAAAATGCATAGCTGACGAGTCATCCTAATTTCATCCAGGTTTGGAGACCAGCTCCCCTACCCTTTTGGCTGATCATTGGCCTTGAGAGGGACCAATGGGTATACAACTGATAGATGACGGCATGAAGTCCTTAGACATCAGTGCCGCCCTTCACGGGATACCCCTACCTGGCTGGGGTGGGATGGATGAAAAAGTTATTCATCCTTTAACGGGGGACATGAGGGCCTCATTCGACAGAGTGTCGGGGCCTTCTATATCGGGAGGGGTCGTCTACAGCATAATCTGTGGCTTCTCTAACTAACGGGTTTTCGTGAGTTTCCGTTTTTTCGAAAACTCTCTCATTCCTCGACTGAATGGACTGCCGAATGGAAGGCAGCTGCAAATCTCTGCGGATGGCTTCATTTAGAATTCGAAATTTTGCACATTGAAAATAAAGGTTTCAAACTGAATCATTTAGAAGCAATGGAAATTAATAAACTTAAAAATTCAAATATTCTAATGAATGACCAATTAGATTTGAATAGATCACCATTATTGAATTTGTTTTCTTAAAAACCCATAAAGAATTATTATTGATGTAGATGGTAGGCAATTTGCTTTAGGTAAGCATAATCGAGCAGGTATGTGATGTAGAGATTCAGGTAATTTCTTACAGGTAGTCTCGATTGTGGTTACTTTTAGTATATAAATATGAATGTAAGGATGCTTGGATGTATTAATCATTTGAAAAAGCTAATGTTTTAGCGAAACATGTTATGATTATTTTCAATAAAGTTAGTGGAGATCAAATCGTTTAAGTGTAGTTTGTGAGATCATGATTTTGTTCTTTAAACTCATTTTGGATTTCCTGTTGATCAGAGGGTACAGACTGGCTATCCGACCCTCGATCTTGGATTTAACGTACATAATGTGCGGGTTCCAAGTGAGCCTACGGTCTATTTGAAGGCCGAGGTACTTTACCCGCGCTTGCCAGTCAATCTCCCTTCCAGAGATTCTCACTTTTCTGGCCGGAGAAGATAGTAATCTTCCCATGGTTATCGCCTGAGTAAATGCATAGCTGTTATTAAAAACTAAAAAGCTCACCTCGGTAAATTCAGAGTGTTTTTCGAACTGAAAGTAACAACACAGCCTACTAGAAATCATCTCAGTATCATTAAATTTCTTTGTTTTTCTCAATAACTGAAACACGTTTGTTTTGAACCATTCTAATTATTCAATATTTCATTCAAATAAAATGAATCCGAAATAAAGCAAATTCACAAACACTGTTTTCTTGTCGTTGCTATGCAAAAAATGAGACGTGATATTTATAATGAGATTATGAGTATATTCTGAACATCAGTGTCGTAAATGCGAGGTTTTAATTAAAATTGGTAATATCATCACCTAAGCTTCTTTTTAATTTTAGGTGTGTACCAAAATTATTTTGGCCAATATGAAGGTGGACATGCTGTGAGAATCTTGGGATGGGGAGTTGAAAAAGGTACACCGTACTGGTTGGTTGCAAACTCCTGGAATGAAGATTGGGGTGACAAAGGTTTATTCAAGATAATCAGAGGGAGAAACGAATGTGAGATCGAAGATGATATAGTAGCTGGATTGCCAAAGTTGTAAATTTCAGATGATGTTTCCACAAAATATTCAATCGAAATGTTTCTTGATAACGTTTCTGTAATAACGTCATTAAGATAATAACAAAAATAAAAATCGTCTGAATTGTGGAATTAGTTTTTATAACCGAGAAATCCTCGTGAAACCCAACTCAGCTGTCACCAGTCTAACATCTACGGGTTCTTATATATCTGGGTCACCAGTGAAGTAATAATAAACTGTCTATCAATCCTTGGTAACCCTCTCGCTATTCCCGTGATTGTTTTATTTGAAATAAATTCAGGTGCAGCTGTCACCAGATGCAGATTTCTCCACATCAAAATTTGGATGTTGGGCAATTCCGAAAAGACTGTAGGGGTCGTGCCGATCTCACGAAGGCCGGTCTTTTTGAATGCTGATCATTTGGGATACCTACTCATAATTCTCTCTCATCAGGTATATGGTTCCAGAACGATACCGAATATGCTCTAACTGAATTTTGATCTTACTCAAAATGTTTTTTTTACACGCTTTATATTAGCTTGTCCTGTATGTTCGTTAGTAACTTTCAAGCTCGTGATCTGTATTGACACAACTATCAGCATTATTGCTTGATCTATTCGCGGGCAGATGGCGTTATACGTAACCTCTCGGATATTTCTTGATCTATTCGCGGGCAGATGACGCTGTACGTAATCTAGACATTATTGCTTGATTCATTTGCGGGCAGATAGCGCGGTACATAACCCACTCACTAGGTTGTTCAAATATTTAGCCAAGTTGAACCACCCAGTCGCAATTTGAATGTTGAATAATCATTTCAGATGCATTTAGGATTGCTCATTTCGAAAATACAATAAAATGTTTTTCTCGAATTTTTTAAGAAGTTTTCAAATGCATCCGTATTATAGTGAAACATTCACTGTTCTTCAGTAACTCATCGTATTTAATAATGTTGCTTATCAAAAAAAACTGAGGAACTGTATATACTTGTCTCTGATTCTGATTCAATTTTGCCAGTATACTTTGAATTCGAGTAGTAACTTATCGAGATAAATAGAAGGTATGCTCGTTCTATATATTGAAAAATCCCCCATATTCTCTCACAATTTTTTTTGATTGTGAAAGAATAAAATTTTCGGAAGAGCCAATAAAAAACTTGAATTACTTCAACAAACAAATGACTTCAAAATATTCATTTCATTACAATATTCATCACTGCTCTTATTGAACAACATTGTTCTCATAATTGAACGGAGATAAAAGTTTGATTATTCTTGAATATTCATAAAAAATGAAAGCGTGATCACATTCTGAAATGGATGTAGTTTTTTTTTGATAATTCGGTAATTAGTTTTACTTTCTAATGGCAAGACACCAAAACTGAATTAAGTGATATCAAATATGTATACCTTCTGTTACATATTAGTCTAATCAATGCCAGAATATTAGTGCCGTTTAAACAATCAAGGTATGGGGTGAATTTCCATTTCATTTTTTCTTTCAAAACTCTCATCTCATTCTCTTCAGAATACTTACATTATGCCAAATATTTTCCACTCAAAGTTTTCGAAGAAATGTTTCAAGCTTTTTTTGAAAGCATATTCATAGCTTCTACCTTCACATCTTTGACTGTATCAGATCTGATATCTTTCAATGTTTCCTTCATTTTCGGGAACATAAAAAAGTTATACGTAGCCAGATCTGACGAGGAGGATGAATGTTCCAACACAAGAATCCCATGCTCGGTTGAAAATGTTTTAACTGCTGTTTAGGCAGTAGCAATGTTCATTTTTCTGAATATATAACTAACAACCAATCCAGAAATTTGTAACCTTTTTGTTATCAAAAGGTACACTTGCACGGAGCTCTTAGTTAGGAAGCTTCTTTGGGTCGTGAATAGGAGGAAACTAAAAAATTTGATGTTGAATCGGGCGCCACCGGATTCAAAACAGTGGTATTTTGGAATTTTGCCAACCACGGAAAACAAAATTCATATTATATGATGTAAAAAAAACTATCCAGTGACTACATAAAATATTCCACTATCTCTGTTGAAAAACGAAAACAACATTAAAATAAAATATCATTTAATAATTCGAACATTCAAATAATCAAATGTTTAGGAGAATTTAAGTTAGATATGATCAACATTTATATTATATAACTCGCCTGTTCATAGTACTATGTTCAGCGTAACAAGTGTGAGTCTTCTAATGACTCGCTGTAAAAAAATCAAGAATGATTCTTCAAAGTAATTATTTTAAATGAATTGCACGTGATAAATATATCAGTGCCAATAATTTTTCATTATCAGTTACGGAGGAGAAAATAATAATATCATCTAATAATCGGTAAGCAAATAAAAAAATAATGAATCAAGAAATATCGAAAATCTGGCCTTAATTTCCCTCGATGTATGATGGTGCTTGGAGTTCTTGGTAATGTCCTAAAGAGATGACGACAACTTGTAGCAGTTCCACTGTTACATGAATATTGAGTAGAGGAGTTCTCAGGAAATGTTGAAATATGATTCTGCCAATTAGTACCAATACTTCGGATCCGGCTGACAAAGGTGATTCGGATACTGGAGTCGATCAAACTTATTATATACCAAATTCTGAAGTCGGAAGCTTTTCTCAGCTGGATGAAAAAGCAATAGCCATACAGCATGACAAATCCAATTAAGAAATAATGCATAAAAGCAATTTGCTGAGGCAGAGAGAGGCAAAGCCGCTTATCACCTTGGTAACTATCCACAATATTCAAAAATATTTTCAGAGGACAGAAATGGAGATTGGGATTCGAAAGAGTGAAGTCGTGTGCCATCTAATAGAGACAGGTAGAACTTGGAATGTTCTAGGTATAGACAACATTATAAATGATTAATATTAGGTTCGAATTCATTGTTGGCTGGTGTCACCTATCAGTAAATATCATCACTAGGACAGTACGAAATGAATTGATCGTGATCGAATATGACATGTATACAGGTAATTTCATAAAATAGTTCGCGTTATACTCTGACCAAAAAAAACGTTACAAATTCACATAGTCACCTTGAGGTATCCATTGGAATCTTCTGACCACAAACTCATTTCAGTCAATCAATCAATCAAACATTTTTTGAATCAGTTTTCATTTACAATCACATCAGGCAAACATCATCATAAAATACTGGCTGATACAACAGGTTGAACTAAAAATCAAATAAAAAGCATAACTTAAATAAAAATAAAATTACCAAGCTACAATCAAATTATGATTCGAAGAGAAACTCATCCACAGAGTAGTATGCTTTCTGCAATACAAAAACCTTGAGCTGCCTTTCAAAGACATTGATCATCACTAAGCTTATTATATAGTTTAATCCCACAGCACATGGGGTGATTCTTCGATACTGTCTATCTACTATAAGGCTGATAAAGTTGAGGTTTATTTCTGGTGGAATGTTCATGGATTTGCTCATTTCCAGGAATAATTGAAATATTGTTTCTCATATATATCAGAGTTTGGTAGATATACAAACTAGGCATTGTTAATACACTATAACGAATGAATAATGGCCTGCAGTTTGCACTTGAAGATGTCCCAGCCAGAATTCTGATTACCTTTTTCTGAATAACAAACACTTCATCAGCTTTAGCTGATAAGCCCCACTGTTCAAGACCATAGGAAATCACTGACTGAATTAAACTGTGGTATAAAAGCATGAGAACATCAAAAGAGACTGTTTGTTTCAACCTACGAAGTAAATATATATGTTTACTGAGCTTCAGTTTGACACTAACAACATGGAACCTCCAGGTAAGTTTATTATCAATATCAACACCCAAGAATTTAGTACAATTAACTTGATGCAAAGTTTCATTATTCAATCTCACCAAATAGCTTTCATCAATAGTTATATTTTCAGTAACAAAGTTGAGCATTTGAGATTTGGCAGAATTTAGCAGCAGGCCATTTGTAGAACACCACTCCTCAATTTGATCAGTTACTTTATCAGCTTTAACAATTACTTCAGACATAGTTTCCGCAGATACCAAGATGTTAGAGCCTTGAGGTACCCCTCTTACTATACATTCACTTACAGAGTTAATTCCAAGACCAAGAATTTCATCAATACCGGACGATTTTTTCTTATAAACTTTTATGATGACTTGTTCAATTTCCATTTTAGTTGCTGGATATAAAAAAATACTTTGATGTGAAGATGACATATAATTAATATTTTTAGTATCAGGTTTGGATTTGCTACTGCTAACAGTTGAAAATACTCACTAAAAAGGTTGCATATAGCAAAATCATCAGAAACAAGGACGCCATCATCAGCATTTTCCAGACAAGGTATTGCATTGCCAGAATAACCAGTCTGAGTTTCCTTGATGATTTTCCAGGATTCTTTCACTTTATTATCAATAGAAGAGATTATATCATCATTGCTAGTTTTTTTAGCATGTTTCAATTTATCCTGATATATTGTTTTGAGTTCTTGATATTCCCTCTGATATAAACCATTTTTATATACTTTGTTCAGCTCAGATAACTCGGTTAACCTTCTACTAATTTCTCTCAACTCAGTAGTTATCCACCTGGAGTCACCAGATTTTTTTATCTTGACTACTTTTTTTTTGAAATGAAGTATCAAAATAATAGGAAACTTTATTATAAAAACTATCAAACTTTGAATTTGCTTCAACTGAGTTATGCAATGAAGACCAATCAGTCTCCAGCAGTAAACTAGAAAATTTCTCAATATTGTAGTCACTAAAACATCTCATGTGAGTTTCTTGGTTATGGTCAACCTGATGATAGCAGAAAGTTGCCAGCTGGAAAGTGTGATCAGATATATAGGAATGATTAATGGAGGATCAGAAGTAGACAAAATATTATAAATACAAGTTGCCGAATCACCCCATATACGAGTAGGTTCACTCATAATAGTAATAATAATATAATAATGAAGTCAGTTCTCACATTACTAAACCTTAACATATCTATGTTGAAATCACCACAAGCTATTAATTCTAAGTTATTATACTAACTATACAACATCTCAAGTAATCGATCAAATGAATCAAAAAAAGTTAAAGTATAACCAAGAGGTGATCTATACACCGATAAAATTATAATAGTTTTACTCTTACCGTTTAACGCTAATGCACATATCTTGCTCTATACTACATTCTATAGGAATTTTATTTACTTGCAAGGATTTTTTAGCAAAAATGCATACCCCTCCCCTGATATATTTCTCCCTACAAAAAAAAAAAAGAGATTGAATTATAGTCGGTTATTTGAAAAGATGGACACTCTTGTGATTTAAGTCAGCTCTCACTAATACATAGAATATCAAGAGAATGTTTGTCTATAATTATCTCCAAATTAAGTGACTCATTGTAATATCCCTGTACATTGAAGTGCATCACACACAATTCAGCACATAAGTATATCAAGTTGACATGTACTCTTGTTAACTACTTGACTGCTATTGGGCTTCGGAAAATCCTGACAATTGAGAACTCCATGGTTATCATTTGATACAACTGGAACTAAGTGGAAGTTGCAGTTTGTTTGGATGGATGAACATTTTCTCTAAACTTAAACCTCCTGATTACGGATCCCTCTGGCCAGATGGTTGGTTCGTATACTTCCTGGGCCTTGTCCAAAGGAAAAGTTACTTTGTAAGTGGAATATCGCTTATTCCTATTCCATTCTACACACTCAAATGGTATTTGAGGTGCCGAATCTTTTAATAAAGTCAGTAAATCTTCAGACTTTACATCAGCACCAATACGAGAAACGTGCAAATGTCCCAATTTTGGGATTGTTTTAAAATTTGCGGATTTATTGCTACCAAGTATAGGTTTGTATTTATTTACATTGTTTTCATGTGGGGAATACCTACTATACATGGACTTATGTAATTTTCATTCATACATCCTTTGCACAGACTCGCTGAGTTCTATTCAAGCAATTGAAAACTCTTTCAGTAAACATCCGCTGGTTTAAAGAATCTTAACTCCAGTCCAAAAGAAAATCAATCGTATTTGTTTGGGTTCCTAGTCATATAGGAATTGACGGCGATGAGAAAGCTGATAATGCAGCAAGAGCTGCAACTGAGAATAATGTCGATCTGAATATACCTGTGAGTCCAAATGACACAAAAAAATTCATAAAAAACTCAATACTCAACACATGGCAATACGAATGGACAAACAACGTTTCAAAATTGAAAGATATCAAACCTGATATTGCAGCCATGAGACTTCCACAAGGGCTAACGAGAAGAGAACAAGTCATAATAACACGACTTAGGATAGGACATACGAACTTAACATCCTCTTATATACTGAGAAGACAAAGACAACCATCCTGCGAAAATTTCCAAACTTTGATGACGGTCAAACACCTTCTCTTAGAATGCCACCAGTATGAAGCCGATCGACAACAATATAACTTACCGGATATTATCAGAACTTGCCTCGGTACCAAAGCTAAAGGAAATGTTTTGAACTTTCTGAACGCAACAGACCTTTTTAACAAAATATAAACAGCAGTCGATGCCAGAATAATAATTAAAAAAAATAATACCTACTGGGATTTCCACCAGTTTTTACTTCAAATTCGTTATCAGAAGATAGAGTTTTGTTCGGTGTGTTGTTCACCTTTTCCACTGTGTGGCTATAAAGTTTTTTGGAATATTCTCAGTTGTAGATATTTCAACTGGATTCGATTTTCTGCTACTAGATGGCAATATAGGTAAGGAATTTGAGTTATTCAAATGTTGTTTCAATAAGTATATTAGATCTTACTGCTCTTGGGCCCTTTTTTTCAAATGAAATGACAGTTTACTCACAGATTCAAATTTGTATTTGAGGTCAGTCACTTCTTTCAACCTTTTATTACAGTCACCACAGGTTATGTTTGCACATGTAGCATGAACATTTCCTTCAACACTATTGTTTAGTACTTTATCACTGATTCTGTTTATATGATTTTTCAACTGGATGCTTGTCATTACTACTGGCACTCTTAAAGTAATTAACATATCAATAAGCTCATTTTTTTTGAGCTTATTTAGCTCTGTTGTTAAAATCGCAACGTCATGTTCAGCCGCCATATTGAATATATTGTTGAGTGAATTACCGATAAATGTTGGGGAAGTATCTAAGCCGCGCAAAGTTTGGCATTACAGATCAGCTGAATGGGAGGATCTTCAAAATCATTTCAGAAATTTCCCCTGGCTAGATGTTTTTTCAGCTCTGAAGATCCGTCAAATTGGGCTTCTGAAGTCACGGAAGTTATTCTATCATAAATGGATGCATATGTATATTCCTTTTTCTATGAAACGATCTTCTAACCTTGGTTCAACAAAAATTGCGAGCAAGCTGTCGTCTCCAAAAATCTCGCCTACCGGCAGTACCACAAAAATCCCAGTGCCGAAAAGCAAACTAGGTTTGTTAATTCTCGCAATAGCTGCGAACTCTGGATAAATGAAAGCAAATAACTTCACAACCTGAGAATTAGGGATAAACTGCTTGCCAATCCCAACGGGTCTAGATCCTTCTGGTCGGTAGCTGAAGCTGTTAACTTGAGACCAGTCGCTTTGCGATCAGTATTGTCAAAAAATCATGGAGAAAGTCGCGAACCACCATATTCTTAAATATTTGGAAGGCTACAACATCTTGAGCGATCATCAATATGGCTTTCAGAAACAAAGATCAACTGGCGACCTTCTATCGTATGTCACCCATATTTGCAATAACGCAATCGAGGAATATGGAGAATCAAGAGCTGTTGCGTTTGATATTTCTAAGGCTTTTGACCGTGGCATGAGGGTTTGCTGGCCAAACTTCGATGCTGTGGCTTGTCGGATCATTTTTGTGTATGACTCTTCAGCTTCCTGAAAGAACACTCCCTACGAGTGACCGTCGATGAATATCTCTCGAATACTTTCATCATCAACTCTGGTGTTCCCCAGGGATCTATATTGTCTCCAACCCTCTCTTCATTGTATATTAAGGGTTCATTGGAAAAAAACAAGAATCCAATATATTGCTTTGCTGATGACAGCACACTTGTCTCGTTATTTCATTTGGATTCCAGGACATCGGCTACACATCGGAGGCACATCTTTACTGGCAGCAGGTGGTTGCATATTTTGATGAGGATCTAGGAATTGGGGTGAAAGTAACCAGGTTCAATTCAATGTCAGAAAAACCCTGAAATCGCTGGATTCTATCCAGAAAAGAACCATCCGCCTGATTGGAGACGCGAATATCACGTTCAATCTTGGTTTGTCTCTCTTTTGTAGATACTTTCACGGGAAGTGATCAAATGACTTGGCACATTTGATTCCACCGAGAGCGGTACATATCAGAAATACGCGACGGACTGTGGCTGCTCTTCGTTTTGAGCTTCAACTCAAAACACGTCGAACTCCACTGTTTGAGAACTCATTCATTTGAGATCTGCTTTCATGTGGAATAAACTTCCTAAGAACGTTCTCCAAATAGATTCAATTTCCAGTGATTCAGATACAATGTGAGTCGCTACTTTGGCACAGGCACCGCTCCTACAAAAAATTGTTGTTCCAACGGTTGGAAGTGTCTCAGAAAACCAGTTCCGTGATTTTTCAGCCAAATCTTCTACAATTCTCGAATTTTCGTTACGAGATTATTCGAAACAAATCGTTTACAAAAGTCAATTTTTCACCAACAAAAAGATTGAGCTTCCATACGATTCCTCTGCAGAAATGTTCTGGCTAGGATGTTGAAATCCACTTCAGTTTTATAAAAGAGTGATTTGATACATCGAAAGAGATGGTGGATATACAGTTCGTTATTTTTCTTATAAGCTGTTTGAATCTGCCCGGGGGGTATCTTTGAACGACAGTGTTCTCATTGTGACTTCTTTGAATATGAATGATTGATATTATGAAAAATCTATATGGAACTGTTGCGAGTCAAAATGTTTCATAAATTAAGTAAGAATTTCGAAGTAGAAAAAAACAAGTATCTCCATTATACGTGAAAATAGCCAATTTAAACAGAGGCGGTTTCGAAATATGCCAGAATGATCAACAACCACCAACTGTTTTTTGTCAAATGACATCTCTAACAGTTGTATACTTCATTCCATTCCCCTTGATTTTACTTCACCACTGCCAGTGTCGATACAGAGAAGTAATTTTTCTTAGAATCGAAATAATCTGTTTAACCTGTGCTCCACCTGATTTCACACAAGCTTTATATCCTTTCATTCCCTAGTACAGGTCGATGCAATCAGAGTTGAGATGATGGTACGACATGTCCGGCAGATTCGATAATTGAGATCTTCTTAAACTGCTGAAGGTACTTTATATACAATTTCTTCCAGATAACATTATAGAAAATAATAAAGTGGACTTATATCAGGGTATCGGGCTGGCTTCGAGTTTCTGTTTCCTATCCTTCTCTGGACATATGTATCATTGATATGCTGGGTGACAATCTGCAAAATATACGAATATACAGTATTTTGTTACCATGTCATCATTGGAAAGTTGGACAGAAATATATGTTCTTGTATTTCGGGCAAAGTATTCAGTGGAAAATCCTAATATCGTGGTCGTACCGGTTTAAAGTCCACACCACAAGTATATCTGACTGTTTTGTGTTGCTCTTGAGGTTATTATTCACTTGGGTTTCCATTTTTCATAAAAATTCAAAAGCGATTTGTGATAATTATCAGGGTGTAAAGTAGGGTGTATATTTTTTGAAGGTGCCATTTTGAAAACTATGGCATAGATAGCTGGCATGATGTCTAGGATGTTCTGAGAAAGTATCTCCAAGTTGTTTTTTCTATTTCTCATCCCTTTTTGTCTTTCCCAATTCAAATATCGTCTGTTAACAATATACTGTTACACCCTGATATGGGGTTATCACTTATAGATATATTATAACAAATAAATTATCATCAATTCAGTTTTGAAGTGTTTGCTCCTATTTTGAATGTATCATTATTGAAACTGACTCAAATATCGAAACCTTTATCGAAAACATATTTTTAATACAAAGAAAAACGCCAATCAGGTTCTTAATGGATTTTTGTTAAAATCAATCGAATCAGAAACACTTGAACTATATGATTGATAAATAATTTTCAAGTGCTTGAATCAGTATATAAATGAATTGACATAAATATATTTTCATAGGTTTTTTTCTCTAGTGATTTAACTCAAAAGGAAGGTAAGTAAATTTTCAAATCTATTGTGCTGAAAGAAAATAAATATATTTTTTCTTCTCATTTTTTAATTGTTGTTTACTACCGACAACTTGTTACTGACTATATTTATCGTAAGAAAATCATTATTGAACAGAAGCCATTTTTTTGTGAAGGAAATCACACCTGTATGAAATTCATCATTGAAATTTTTATTTATTCATGATCGTAGAAGGTGAAGTTTCAAAAACCATTTTGTTATTGAAGTTATTCTCGTCAGAAAATTATTTTGAATATATATGGCATGTCATTGCTGGAAAGCAATTCTACTGGTTGACTGGTTGATCCAGTGTTCTTGAAAGAAATCGTTACATTATTTCATGAATGCCACTTCGTAATTCTATTGCAAACCTGAGCCAGAATATTCTGGTGCAATAGATTCCAAATAAAACTACTTGAACTGTTGATTATATTATAGAATTATTTTCCTATGAGGGGGTTCTGAATTTAATGATTTTTGTGTCCTACGAATATAATAGTCTTCACCCCATCTCCAGAACGAAATGTCAATATAAAAATGTGTTCCTTCTTCCATATTTCCAAAAGGATAGATCACGTCAAGATCTATCCATTCATATCGAATTCATTCCACTATAAAATTTAATTCCCGAGGATTTTGCTAGGAGAGTTCGATGTTGAATATAATTTTTTGTTTCTGAAACTATTTGTTTTATGAATTTGGAACCCCAGGTATTTACCTATAGAACCTCATATTTTCAGGGAAAAAATCACATTTTGATGAATTATTGAATGTTTTATTCGGAATGTTGAACGCAAGTCATTTTTTATGAAGGCCTCCGATATAGAACTAGAAGAAATCACATTACATATTTCGTGTACATAAGATGCTATGTAAACATTTCAAGCTCGAAGACAAAACTAATGAGATCCTGTTGGATCAATAAGAGCACTAGTACTAGCCAAGTAGAAACAGAAGACCTTATACTGAATAAAAATTTAAAACATAATCACAATGTTCTGTATGGGGAGTAAATATAAAATTGCTCTTGGTGATATTTACATGAAAAATAATGTGAATTTTCATGATGTTATTTGTCTCTCGACTATCTTACCCTCTTTTTTCTTGCCTTGTCTCGATCAAGATGTATAGATTGGTCGATTCGGGTTGCGGACACATTCATTGAAGCTCCGCATATTTATTCGGTAATTACTTTGATACAAGTGATATAAAACTGAAATTTCTATATGTAGTGACTTGTGGACAGAAGCAACTAGTTTGTGAAAATTACCGAGGTACGTTACGTATCACCCAAGTAATCCATATTTTTATCAGCTGATATACCTATTTAGTATGGTTAAACCAGTTTCTGATACTATAAATAAGACATGACAACCGATGTGTCTAATGAGCAAGTACTTGAGAGTTTAATGAGATTGATTGAAGAAGAAGGCAAAAAAACAAAGAAGACATTGCATTGGAAATCAAAAAGAAAAATGAAGAACTCTTGGACATCCTAGATAAAAATAGGACTAGAATAGCAAATCTCGAGAAAAAGGTTGGGGAACTGGAAAGTAAATGTAAATTGCTTGAAAAAAGATCAAGGAGAAATAATATACTCATTTATGGACTGGAAATTCCAGAGTCTGCTCCTATAGCTACTCATGTGACAAATATTCTTTCCGAGCTCCTTGAGGTTGAACTAGAAGCACAAGATATCAACACCATTTATTCCTTTCGCAACCAAAACACTCCTACTATGAAATTGGAATTCACGTCTTATCTGATAAAACAACAAATCCTTCAGAACTGTTACAAACTCAAACATAAAATACTTACTATATCGCAAGATCTTTCGATCCAGAATAGAAAAAAACAGAAGCTATCAGTAGCCCACCTGAAGTTGGCTAAATCGAAAAACCTTAATGCGTTTATGAGAGGGAAAAAGCTGATTCTGAATGAAAATGTATGCGGTTGAGAAGCTGAGCGAACTTGAAGAATCAACTTCTCTATCCCTCCCTTCGAAAAGTGATAAGTCAGGTAGCTCAAAATATATTCCTTCGGATCAAGAGACAGGCAAAGGGAACCCTCAGAAAGACTCAGTGTCAAGTGAAAAATCGGGAAGAATTCTTCGCCATCACAAGTAATTCTAGTGTGTATTCGTACCAGACTAAATTTCCTAGCACAAATTTATCAGTATTAATCTAATCATTAAGTTGTTTGAAGGTGATTGACAATGTTTCATGGTGAATTTTACCAGTTTGGACTTCCATTGTCTGTTTAAAATCTGCTGTCGCCCTGAAATCCCTGAATCAACTAAAAAAGAAGAATTAAAAATGAAAAGCTAAAAATAACAATTATATTAAGCAAAAAAAAAACCTGAAATGAAATAATAGTGAAATACAATACGAGTAAAAATAGAACAATTAAACACAAAATAAAGAAATAAAACTGAAGATGAAAATGAAAAGTTAAGAGGTTCCAAGCCAAGTCAGTTCACAACGTTTCGATTGTTAGTATCTACAATCGTCTTCGGGTGATGACTGGACTGATTTCTCCGAGAGATAAGTATTTATGGGTCGTTCGAGTACTTTCAGGTATCCCCGCTTTCCATTTTTTCTGCGGTTCAGTGGGAGATGACCGCTTGGTGTGAGTTGGCCATTTTTCGCTTGATGATAGTTTTCCATATGTTGCGTATCTGTACGCTAGCTAAGCTGAATACGTTGTTGGACAGCATGTATGCGGCTTCCTTGGACTTTCTCCTAAACCAATGTTCCTCTCTGTGCAAGACCTCAGCTTGGGGCCACTCGATGTTGTGTTGATGGGTCCAAACATGGTCTGCTATTCCTGATTTGCTGGTTTTCTCTCGCTGTGTGTGTTTCTTGAGCCAGGCTATGCGAACCTTCAATGGCCTCTTGATGGCCTTCAATGGTTTTACCAATATAGGATTCTCCGCACTCACAGGGTATCCGGTAAATAATATAATAAATGGTTTTTGTACAATAAACTAATTTTGAATGCGGAAAAGACCAAATACTTACCCTTCACCTTCTATACTAACAATTTGCCGAATATGGGTCCATTGAATATAAACCAGAATATAGCAACTCCAGAAGCCAGCTCCATTAAATACCTCGGTATAAAAATTGACCAACATTTGAAATATGATTTACATATATCGTATCTCACAAATAAACTTCGAGGATTCATATCAAGATTCATACTCTTGAAAGAATACCTTGATATCACCCATTTGACAACTGTGTATTATAGTTTGGTTCAGTCCCAATTTTCATACGGCATAATAGGATGGGGAGGAGTAAATAACACACACTTAAATTGCCCCAATATTGTACAAAGAAAAATCTTAAAATCATCTTGGGTAAAGGAAGGATGTATCCAAGCGATAATTTGTACAAAGAAAGTGGCATTTTCGATGTTAGACAACTCTATTGCCAAAAAATGTTGCAGAAAATATACAAAAATGAAATTAAAATAACACGCTCGGATCACCCATACAATACTAGGAGACAAAAACATAGTGTTGTGGTTCCGAAATGTATCAAAACAGTGGGACAGACGCACTGCAGCTATTTGGGTCCAAAAACTTGGGATTTACTACCTAAAACCATAAAAACTAGTCAAAACTACGTTAAGTTTAAGAAACAAGTGGAAACTTGGCTAAATAGTTATGACATAGATATATTCCAAAAAATTATTTTACTGTAAAAACTGCAAAAATTCATACCTGTTAAAATTTATTGATTTTAACAAATTGTTTGTCCTATTCAAAAGACAATGATATATTTCTAATGAGACTCTAGATGTGACTTTTTACCGACTGTGATATTTATCTCATGTGATACCTTGCATAAAACTGTTAACCATCTATTGGTGATGTTTAGATAATTTGATTTGAACTTATGTATTCAATCTAGTAATTTTTTGATAAATAAACATTATTATTACTATTATTTTCAACGTTTTGATTTCTTTTCCATCTACAGGAGTATTCAGGATGAGGATAGCCTTCTGTTTCATTGTTGTCGCCATTTCTGGGGCTGTTTCATATGGAATAGACTCAAATCCCTTCAGCGATGAGTTCATAGATCATATCAACAGCCAACAAACCACTTGGACTGCGGGCAGAAATTTCGATAAAAACACTCCGATGTCTCACATTCGTAAACTACTTGGAGCTCTCAAATCACCGGTACCTAGATCAGCCAGGAATGTTGTTTTACACAGCGAAGATACTCCAATTCCTGAATCCTTCGACTCTCGTGAAAACTGGCCCAACTGCCAGATTATCGGAGTAATCAAGGATCAGTCCTCCTGTGGTTCATGTTGGGTAAGATTTTAGATTTTTTGGAAACTAGATTCATAGGAAAAGGAAAAGTTCGTTGGTATTTTAAAAGTGTTACTATTCCATTTTTCACATCATGTACTAGTAAATTACAGCATTTCGTAATTATGTTTTCTCATCAACACGAATAGGGCAAGAAAAGACATCCAAATACAACCTATTGACTAATATGATTTCTGTATTGAACAGAATTTTGAAATATGTACGGCATCTTTCAAATCAAGGAAAAAGGAAATATCATTTTGAATTGCTACAGATCTCCCTGTGGAGACGTTCAATTCTTTCTCAAGAATATTTATGACATGTTTTCAAATCATTTTGAATCGCTTTCCCAATCGCACTTATTACCATAAGAATGAATGCAAAAAATGGGTTGATGAATTTGTTATTCATTCTAGTTCCAACTTGCGGGAAGTTTTCATACTGACAAAAACATATCCTGATTTAACAGATACATACAATGATGCTAAACGTAAACATTCATCTCTACCAATTGAAAAAAGGGAAAGCTACTATCAAAATCGTATATTCAACTCATCAAATACTTTGGTACATATTGGACAATTATTTCAGAATTATCGAACAAATATAAGAAAACTGACCGAAATATAGTAATCAGTATTAACGGAGAATTGACAGAAGAAGCATCTGAAGTAGCTTCTCTCTTCAACCAATTCTTCATCAACACTCCTATTAATCTATCGAACAATATTCCTAAAATTAGTCATCATGTTCTTGCAACTGTTTTCCGAAAAAGAACTTCTTTTACTTTTGAAGAGAAGAATAAAAAAAATCTGCTGGATCAGATGAGATCCCAGGATTTATTTTGAAGGATGTCTTCGAGGATATCGAAGACATCCATTCTAAATTATTAGAAAATTACAGACCGATAACTATTTCATCTGTATTTTCAGAGTTATTCGAATATGCCTTTCTTGACCGTCTTTGGAGTTTCATTGAGAAGCATCAGATTTTATCTGATAACAACATGGATTCCAGGGCGAAAAATCAACATCAACCGCTATATTATCTTTTTTTAACCAAACAATCGAACATATTGCTGCTGATAAATGTCCAGCAGCAATCTTCAGCGATTTAAGCCGAGAGTTTGACTGTGTGAACCACGGAAAACTATTATAATTGTTAGAACTATATGGTTTGAGGGGTCTCCCACTGAAATGAATCGAATCACATTTCTGGTGGACAGAAAACAATATGTATCTATACAAATGAACTCAAATAATACAAAATATAATAGAAAATCTGAATGTCTGGATGTTGATATAGGTGTCCCACAAGGTTCCGTCTTGGGACCCGTGTAGTTTATTTTGTACATCAATCAGATTGACTGCATTTTGGAGAGTTGTCATCACTCTGAAAATGCAGTATTCTCTTCACCTGACACTAATTTACTAAATGCTAATTGCAGTGAACGTTCTTTATTTTTCAATACGGTAAAAACAGAGATAGTGCGTTTCTACAATCGTCATAAGCCAATATAAAATCTTGATTTTGAAGTAAATCAGACAAATTTGACAAACACTCAAGAATCTGTCAGATTTCTTGGGGTATATTCAGATTTATTTTTGAGTTGGACAACCCATTGTAATAAACTAATGGGCAAATTGAATTTCCTGAATTTTCTTCTTTTGAATCTTCAAAATGTTCTCAATGAGGCATAGCTACTGGCAATTTACTACACCCAAATTGATTCGAAGCTTAGATATTCTATATGTCTCTGGGGAAATTCCACCCCAGCATCGGATATTTTCATCCGTCAAAAACGCATATTGCGTACTTCAGTACATATTCCAACTGAGAAATCATGTAAACCTATTTTCAAAATGTACGGAATTTTACCTCTTCCATGTATATACATTTTTGATATAGCTGTTTATATTTTTGAGAGTAGGTCGTTGTTTGAATTGAATGAAGATATTCATGGATAAATAAACAATCCAAGAATATTCCATTTGCAAAAGTGAATACTGTATATTTTGCTCCCCAGTACATAGGGCCACGAATTTTTAACAAACTTCCAAATATAATTAAACAGCATAAAAATGTGAGACATTTCAAAAAGATATTTACTATGACAATGCTTTACCTCCTCATACATAGATTCAGTACAATAACTGTTAATTCAAGAAAATGGAGAGTTTTCATTTCTGGTGCACATGTCATCCAGGTTTCCAGAAGCATTGGAGCTTCTGCTAACGAATTGGGGAGAACATTAGAGTACCCCAATTACGATAAATGGAACATCCATTTTGTGCATTTAGAAACTTGCATTTCTAACAACTAACCATACCACACAGTCCCCTATGGCTCTGAGGAATGATTGATTCTCTACAGCCCCCTACGATTCTAAAGATTGTTTCTCCACAGCCCCCTACGACTGTGAGGAATATATCTGATAGATCATAGCTTCGGAAAGGATACACCGAAATATATCCCGTGGGGTCCAATAAAATCATTTCCGGAGCTATGGTCTATCAGATATATTCCTCACACTCGTAGGGGGCTGTGGAGAATAATCCTTTGCAGTCGTAGGGGGCTGTAGAGGATCAATCATTCCTCAGAGCCGTAGGGGACTGTGTGGCATGGTTAGTTGTTAGTAACGCAAGTTTCTAAATGCACAAAATGGATGTTCCATTTACCGTATTTGGGGTACTCTAATGTTCTCCCCAATTCGTTAGCAGAAGCTCTAATGCTTCTGGAAACCTGAATGGCATGTGCACCTTCGGTGTCTTATTCCAGGACTAGTAGGCCGAGCCTTCGAGCGTGCTCGGTTTTATGTCCCGTGGTTTTGGTCCAATGATTTTATTGGATCCCACGGGACATATTTCGGTGTATCCTTTCTGAAGCTATGGTCTATCAGATATATTCCTCACAGTCGTAGGGGGCTGTGGAGAATAATTCTTTGCAGTCGTAGGGGGCTGTTGAGAATCAATCATTCCTCAGAGCCGTAGGGGACTGTGTGGCATGGTTAGTTGTTAGAAACGCAAGTTTTTAAATGCACAAAATGGATGTTCCTTTCATTTCTGGGTTATTGGAAGGAATTATTGCTTTCCGATAAAAAGTCTAACTCGTCCACTTAAAATGGTTCAGAAAAATTATTTATTTTGCAGGCTGTTGCAGCAACTTCCGCAATGAGTGACAGGATTTGCATTCATTCTAACGGGAAAAAACAAATATCCGTTTCAGATGAAGACTTGATATCATGTTGTTACGAATGCGGGGATGGATGCTACGGAGGATATTCTTTTCAAGCGTGGAGTTATTGGAAGGAAACAGGTCTTGTTTCAGGAGGACCTTATAATTCGACGACGGTAATAAACATTTGTACATCATTAATTTTCATATGAATCAAATATACAATTGGGTTTTTCATGAAATTAAAAATTATAGCTCACACAGAAACACTACGAGTAATCAAATACAGTATTTCTATATTTTCCCCGTGGGTTTGCTAAAAATACATTGAAAATACAACCAAACACTGTCCACTTGACTGATATGCGAATAGGTAGTGTTTATGTAAACCAATGGGAGTCTTAGGAAGCTGGTGGACATCTAGATCAATTGCGAAGGGCTCGTAGACTTGAGCACGATCTTGGCCATATCACAATTGACTTACAACGACCAGCGGCGGCCGGCCTTATTGTTTCGCATATCGAAAAGTCTAGTAGACAGTGCGGTGCGACGTGTTTAATAAGTCGACAGACATTTGAATAGTGTTTGGTTGCATTGTCAGTGTGGTAGCTAAATGAAGTTGAGTTCAATTGTACAGTGTAGTTAATTATTGTCAAACCCAAGGGGAAAACGTAGCTTGTAAAACGGAGCTTGGCTTTTTACCCTAAATTTACATGGTATTTCCCATAAGGCGGTGTTGCCATTTGCCCCGTACTCTCTTAGTTCCTCTACTATCTATCTATCTATCTAACTATCTATCTATCTATCCTATCTTATATTTAAATATAATTCCATTTAATGTTTCAGGGATGCAGAGCTTATTCCTTGGCACCATGCGAACATCATACAAGCGGTTCCAAACCGGCATGTCCTAAAGATATTTCTCCCACTCCAAGATGCACTAAACAGTGTGACAAAAAATCTTCCCTCTCTTATCAATCTGACAAATCATATGGAGAAAAATCTTATTATCTCAGTGCTTCGGAAAAGCAAATACAATTGGAAATTTTGAAAAATGGCCCCGTTGAAGCTGGATTTGATGTATACACAGATTTTCTAAGTTATAAGAGTGGTACGTATTCGTTTGATATCAGACCCCTTTTGACATCTGTTATCCAGCTGTCGCCCTATAAACGACAACCCATCCTAAGGGACAACGTTTACATATCCACTGGTTTGAATAATTGTCATTCATCCAACAAACAAAGTAACCCTAACAAAGAGATCACCAAACACGCATCTATTCGGTAAAATAAACAAGCCACCTCACGCTGGCCAATCAGATTTAAATGTAATTGGCTGACGGAATTCATTTTTACACTGTCGAAGTGGTCAGTTACGATTTAACGCCTCCGGTGTGTACATATACAGTATTTCAAAGTTTGAAATTTTAAAAATGTAGAGTACTGATACGGCTGAAGAAACTGTTAATTTGTGTTCCTACACTCGTTCCTTAGTGCGACTTTGTACAAGCAGCCTTGTCTGGGAGATCACGTGCACTATGCATGATAATTGCTTCTCTGTTGGAGACTGTGTTTCCGACGATACCAAAGTCGAATCAATCTTCAAGTCGAATTCAAAATCCAAAGCCTTGATAATCTTCGTGCAACGGTCGTGGCTGTATTCGAAAGACTTCAGATGCAAAATGAGGATGACGGGAAATGATGAAGTCAGCTCCTATGAATTGTTCTTGAAGACGAGTACCTGAAGCGCTTCTTTGATAGTTGAAAACTTATCCGGCTTTGACAATTCTCTGTACCAGTAGACAGGCGAACGTGATTCCAATAGATTATCTCATACATCTTTACATCTTTTTGAGGCAATACCCAACCGCTATTATTGAGACGTGATTTCAGAGAGAAAATGATACATTTGCAACGTAATCGGATTTTGTTTGAAAAAATCCATTGTTCAAGTGTAACATAATGAACAGTTCGAGGCAATTGAAAGCACAGAAATATTTGAGAGTACTATCCTTGTAATGTATTTTGATCCATTGATTGGGGCATATTCATGCAAGTTAACGATCAGACTCTGCATTCAGTACCTGAATGAAGTTTCAAATATCGTTGATAATCTACGAAACTTCACTGAAAATGCAGTCAGACAACTTGTTCCAGATCCACAGATCTTGCAACAGATAGAATATAATGTTCGAATTGAATAGAAAATATTTTCTATAGCTGTTATCAAAAACTCATCAAAATTCATCAAAAACTGTTATCAAAAGCCCATTTCGGTAAATAAGGGGTGTTTATCGTGCTGAAGGTAACAACACAGCGTACTAAAAATTATTCACAAAATTTCTTTTTTTTTCTCTCAATAACTGAAACACGTATGTTCTATTCAATTCTGATTATTTCATATTTCATTTAAGTAAAACGAATTCTAAATGAAACACATTGACTACCACTATTTTATTGTTGTTTCTAGGAAATAATTATACGTGATATTTATAATGAGGTGTCTAGATTTATGCGTGGTATGAACATTCTGAACATCATTGTTGTAATGCGCCGTTTTGATGAATATAGGTGATATTATCATCACCAATGCTTATTTTCATTTCTAGGTGTCTACCAATATGTTTCTGGCATACTCGAAGGTGGACATGCTGTGAGAATTTTAGGATGGGGAGTTGAAAATGGTACACCGTACTGGCTGGTTGCAAACTCCTGGAATGAAGACTGGGGCGACAAGGGTTTATTCAAAATAATCAGAGGAACAGATGAATGTGAATTCGAATCGGAAATAGTAGCTGGATTGCCAAAGTTGTGAATTTCAGATGACTAATGAATGCTCCAATCGCTGTTTTCACAATATATTCAATTAATATTGTTCTTAACTAGCATTCAATAGATAAATTGAAGATATTGTAGTCCGTTGAAATATATCATTATCGTACCCATTTCGATTATATGATTTTTCGAATAGCGATAATGATGAGAAATTATTACTTTGATGAAATGCCCATACAGCACCAGATACTCATGGAATATTCCCTGTACATCATAAAACGAACGTATATATTCCAATTATCCATAGAATATTCTTGGAATATATACTTGCCTATAGAATATTCATAGAATATGCTTGAATGATTATTTTCGAGAGAATGTGTATAGAATATCTATAAATGGATTATTCTTCCGTGAATATTCTAAGAATATTGTCTATCGAATATACCACACGATGTATTATTAAAAACCAAAATATTTGAAGATTTTAATCGAATGCATAACCTAATGTATATTACCCTTATAGTGTTAACCATTTTTTGAACTCATCGCGAAGATTCTGATGAGTTGCTCCGACTATTGGAAACGACCAAACAAATTTGAATGGCCCAATTAATAAATCAGTTTATTCTGATCCTATTTGTCTTTGAAATTATTCAATTACAAAGCGACAAATCCTGACAACAGAGAAATGGGAAAGTGAAGTATTGGAGTAAACGATTATCATTGGTCAATTGTGTAGCGCGCGACAGTTGAAGCTTTATGAAAGCGGCTGCCCTTTAACGCTTGGCAGCTTTGCTTTGAAATCGACAATTGGTTTGAAATGGCGGCTGGCCTTGGTGTTATTATCAAAGTATTATTTTCTCATTCTTAGTGAATAAAGAAGATTGTCTCCAAGAATATCTAGAACAAATAAAGAATCATAATTCAGATAATCATATTATCATTGAGGATATGAATTTAGATATTGACAACGATATAGACGTAGTTTCTGATTACTTAAACCACATGAGTGAATATAACTTCATCTCTATGATAAACAAAAATACCAGAATACAAAAAGAGTCAAAGACATGCATAGACCGTATATTTTTGAGAGCGCGAAAATATGTACACGACTCATGTACTGCGGCAATTTATGATACATGCATAACAGATCATAAGAGTACCTTACTAATGATTCCAAACGAAAAAATGATGTCAACATCCAAACTAACTAGAGTAAAACATTACGTACAATATGAACTGGTTAAACAAAATATTAGAGAACATGACTGGTCTTTCTACACTAATCTACAAACTACCGATGAACAGGCCAATTATTTAACAGAAATTCCCAAAATAATGATTAAACAGAATACGCGGAGTAAGAGGATAAGAAGAGAAGAAAACAAAAGGAAAAAGTGGATTACAGTGGGACTTGTTAACTCAATCAATCATAAAAATGCATTACATCGGGAATATAAAAAGGATTCTTGAAACAATACGAAATGGAAGAGTTACATCGAATATAGAGCCCACACAAATACACTCATAAAATTGGCAAAACAAAAGTTTTACCAGAATGAAATAAAAAATAGCCCAAATAGCTAAGAAAAACTCTGGAAACTAGTTTACAACAGCAATACATCTGAAAAAAACACCACAATTAAAGATATACAATGTGAGGACGGCACAATAACTCTAGATAATAACATCAAAGCAGATATATTCAAAAAGTTCCCGTGAATGTAGGAAGACAGCTTGCAGATAAAATAAGTGAACCCACTACGAATATTCCAGAACAAACTCCTAATATAAATTCACTATTCCTTACATCAGTTACTGATAACGAGATCAGAGAAATAATATACTCTCTGAAAAATAGAAAATCGCCAGGACATGACGATATCAGAGTAGAAGAACTCAAGGAATTAGCAACTGAAATCACACCCTTACTAACATTTGTAATGAATAATATATTTCAAACCGGTCAATGTCCAAACACGTTCAAAAAATCGATAGTCACACCCATATTTAAAAAGGAAAACCGTAGGTAGTCAGTAACTACAGGCCAATATCTCTTGTAACAAGTTTCAATAAGGTATTCGAAAAAGCACTGAATTCGAGGATAACTTCATACATTGATAAATATAGGCTTATTTCTTGCAAACAATATGGTTTTAGAAAAGGTCTCTCAACTACTGATGCAATTGCTGCACTAACAAGGGAAATAAACGGACACAGATCAGAGACGGCCGACATGTGTATTTTTAGACTCAGCAAAAGCTTTCGACACTGTTGACCACGATCAGTTGTTGGAGGTATTAAATAAATCAGGAATACGAGGCAAAACACAACTACTTTTCAGAAGTTATCTGAATAGCAGAAGGCAAATAGTGAAAGTGAACAATACTCTCAGTTCTGAAAGAGAAATTACTTATGGTATACCACAGGGAACTGTGATTGGACCATTTACAGTTTTGCAGATGATACGGCCATAATATACACTGATGATAATTGGGAAAAATCGAAATTGAATGTTGAAACTCAAATTAATGTATTGAAAGACTGGTTTGATTACAAGTCACTCACATTCAATTTTGAAAAAACAACATTTCTACCCTTTGCGGGTTACGAAAATCAACTACCCAACTATAATG